GACAATGAGACTGTCACAGGTCGGCTCAGTAGATCGGGAGGTGAGAGAACACATACCGGCGTTCGCTCACCTCTCGATCCTGTCACGGCTCTCTGCCGTGACAGGGGAGGGGCTGGATTCCCCTCTCCCCGATCCGCCAGCGCTGACTGAGGGGAACCAGGGAAGGAGATATATAAGCAGATTAGACTTCATCTTTAATGTATAATACAATTGTGTATTATAAATGTATATATACAAATCATTGTTACATTGTCATTTTTTAGTCCTGACCCTAATAAACATGATACACAAAACAACTAAACCTCCCTTTGATGCTGAAGTTGCCCCTATAGTGTTCTCAGATTCCTACAGCTGCCTTTTCATTGAACCGGTTTGATTGGCAGTCATAAACGAGACCAGCGATCCGCAATTGCTTTCCATGGCACGGCGGTATTGTCAATCCGCGGCGCCGCCAGCTGGAGAACTGCTCCGCGTCCGCTTGTTCCAGTTAACGAGGAAACCAGTCCAGTACTTTTTTTTTTTTCTTGTGCCCGGTTGCATCTGCTCCGGTGTCACTGGGAAAGATGACACATTTCCATGTCTTCTAATTAACCCTTTTAGATGATCTGCCTCCTGTACTTCATCGCGCACTGTAATCTGAGTCCCCAAACCGGCTAATTTTCTCCATGACAACAGGATGCCGGGCCCCGCTAATAACACGGTGCGATCACCCCGACTAAGAAGCCATCTGCTGCCACAATTACCACGATCTCTCCGCTAATTATAAAGTCGAGGAGGAGGAGACTGTTCCCGTCGTTTGTCACAAAATACATAATCCCGGGGGGGGGGGGGAGCTCTGCTCTCCTGCCCCGCCCCCTCTCGGGAAAACCACGCGGTGCACGGCAGGGTTTCGCGTACCGCGCTTATAATCAGCCGCTGAATCGGACGGCGCCGCAGTCACGACGCATCAATCGGAAATTCTGGTGTGAAATTACCAGGAATGTCAGAAAAATCTTCGGAGATATCGGGTGAAATCATCCCGGGAACTGGAAATCACAACTGTGCCGGTGTAACCCTTTCACTGCCTTTTCTTTAAAAAAAAAAACACATTTTAGGCCTGAAGATTACCAAACCCCCTCCCCCCCAAAAATGACATTATCTGGAAGCAGAGACCCTGTGGTATGTATTAGTGACCGTTTTTTAATGTCACATAATAATTGTGTTACTTTGCATCAGATCTAAATTCTGAGTCATTTTAGTGCACACGAGCACAATTCCCAATTTTTGGGTAAAACATAAAAGAATGGGGTTGTGTCGCACAAATACTACATATGTCAAACTTCAAAACTGCGACCACCTATGAACAAGTGAACAATTGCGATAACCAAATGAATCAATACTAGGGATGCACCAATACCGGTTTTTCCGTAACGAGCAAGAGTACAAATATGTTTTTTTTTTCGGTACTCGCCGATACCAAATATTGGAAGTCCTATTTAGAAATCCAGGTGGCGTGTAATGACTCGCTGCCAGGCTGATTAGGAAGCCGGGGGGCGGGGGGGGCAGTAATGACTTGGAGCCGGGCTTCCTGATTGGCCAGCTTCCCGACCAATCAGTAAACCAGGCAGCGAGTCATTACACCCTGCCCGGATTTCTGATTGGCCGGGAAGTCGGCTCTATTCTCTCTGATCACCAAGTGATGAGGGAGCATGGAGTCGCTTCCTGGCCAATCAGGAAGCCGGGCGTGTAGTGACTTGCCGATAACGGAAATTCTGGTATCGGGAGAAGCAGCGGGAGTAATTGTGCGAGCTGGCTGTTTGGCCGGCTCCATGCTGGTTGGCCGGGAAGCAAACTTCCCAGCCAATCAGCATCAAGCCGGCCAATTCACCACACCTGCCGCCTAGCTTCCTGATTGGCCGGGAAGCCGGCTCCATGCTGTTTCCTGCTAATTAGCATGGAGCCGGCTTCTCTGGCCAATCAGGAACCCGGGCGGTGAGCCATTACCCGTCACCCGGCTTCATGTTCCCTTGCGGCACTGCCAGTCAACTTGCAAAAGCCAATAGCGGGCTGGCTTTTGCACCCGCCCACTGCTTGCTGTGCCCTCCACTCAGCAAGGAGGAGAGAGCTAGGGGATCCAACCAACTCATCGACAATGAGAATAGTTGACAACTATTCTCATTATCGATCCATTAGTTGGTTGCAGCCCTAGTTGTCACCATCAGGATACCAGCCGGAGAAATGCCATGCAACCATCGCGGGAGTGTATTTAGATATGATGAGGCTACAGGAGACCATGAGATATAAAAGAATGGGGGG